GATCACATTTTTTATAAACATTTAACACTTTTATGCCTATTTTCATAAATTCAATTTTGTATTAAACCACCCATGTCAAATATCGTTGAAAAGAGAAAATTGAGTAGATCTCGAATATACAAACCATATTGCTAGGAGTTAATTACATTGTAAGTTAGAACCCTCAGTCGAACAAAACCCAATATTTTTAAAACATATTTTAATGGATTATTGTCATATATCATTGAAAAGATAATCAAAAGGGAATTACAAAATTGAAAAAAATAATTTTCTGTGTTTATTAGAAAAGGTCATACAGCCGTCCAAAGTTGTCAAAAATGTTAATTTTTGAATGGCTATTAAACCGGAAGTTAATATTTTTCAACCAATATGAGTACATCTGTGGATAGCTGAGGTCAAGAACATCTTACAGTGAAATGTTCAAGGTCATCGAAGGTCAAGGTCACATGGTGTGGCCTTTTGAATTTTCAAAAAATTCAAACGAATAAAAAAAAAATCCAAATTCGAAATTCAAAATTGTGTTCCATCAAACTGTAGACACAAGGATACAAGGTTTTAATAGACACCAAAATCATAAAAATCGGATAAAAAATGGAGGACTAATTAATTTTTCGCTAAAATGGGTCAGTCCCAGGCGACGGCTTATGCATCACTTCCGGTTTGGATTTTTTCTGCTAAGTGCATCTAATTATGACTGACAGACAATATATATGATTTTTGCCAACATCTGAAATTTACACTGGAAGTGGGGGTGCCAGGCGTGATTTAAAAAAACCGGAAGTGATCACGCAAAAACCGGAAGTGATAGAAAAATTTTGATTGTATAAATTTATTTGTATGGACATTCTGTATATGTCCTGTGAATTTCAGATCAATCGGATAATTAGCGGCTGAGTTAGAAATTTTGAGCTTTTTTGAAAATTTTGGATTCAAATTTTTTTGACAAAAATATTTTTTGAATTTATTATAGCCTCACCAGATACGTCTTATAACAATGCACATATTAAAGAAAATTTCAGGTAAATCGGTTCATAAATAAGCCCTACAGACTTGATGCAAAATATTTGCACAGTATGCAATGGCACACTTCCGGTTTAGCAGAAATTGAGTTTTAGATATTCATTTTTGATTCCAGGTCATTTAAAAATGTTTGGTGAAGACAATTATGCTATACCATTTTCGATTTTGTCTAGGGACGTTCCCAAAAAAAAAAAAATAAAAAAAAAATAATCATAACGAAAACAAAGCGTGACAAATCTAATTTGCCACGCAATAAAAACATTCATCAACAGATCAACGTGTTTAAAGCTAGTCAACGCCTTGGTATTTTAACATTAAAACTATTGCAATAGTCTCTACCAATCTGCCTCGAATGATCATTCAGCCACTACATCGAGTGCATAATATGGCTGCTAAATTGATCCTGGATCTAATAAAATATGCCGG